ATATGTGAATATGCAAGTGTGTATGCTTGTGGACATGTGGATGTATGGATGTGTGGGTGTGCAGATATGTGAGTGCACCGATGTGTGGACATTAGGATGTGTGGGTGTGCAGAGGATATGTGAATATGCAGGTGTGTGTGTGTGGCTGTGGGGGTATGTTGATGTGTGGTTGTATGGATATGGGGGTGTGCAGATGTGTGAGTGCACAGATGTATGGTTGTGTAAATGCGTGAGTGTATTGATGTGTGGGTATGCACTGAGTAAAACCCGAATGGAATGTTCCTGCATTTTGCTGTTTTCTGAGAAAAAGAATCCCTTTCCAGACATTAATTAGCCTTAGAAATTTTTCGCCTGAAATTCTTTGACACACAGTGCAGTTCTTTTAAAATCAACCATCCTGAATTGTGAGCCACAAAGTCAGATGACAGCAGCAGGTGCCACTCCAGCACTTAGCAATCCTGTGAGATCCCAGGCTCTGCAGAGACACTGATAGCTTTCAGTTAAGGCCATTTAAATCTGCTTAAAAGAGCATGTTTCACAGGTCAAGTGTAAAGAGTTACACTTCACGCAACCCTTATCTAATGACATAAAAATAGATGCAAACACTAAAAATACTCGCAAGATCAGGCACCTCTGTCCTTCCACACAACAATTTGACAATGAATTTAGTAATTCCTCCCCATAAAGGAATTTAAATATGCAAATTGGCCCAAGCAAATGCAGGCCTGTACCTCCTGGGACAGAAGTCAGCATCTGTCCCCTGGTTCTGCAACTACAGGCCTCCAGTCCTGGGCAGAATGGATCCAGACTGTAATTCTCATAGAATCACAGCAATGAGAAGTACGTAAGAGGGCTGTGCAAACTGTCAGTAAAATGCCCCCGTGCAACCATGTGGAGCTGAGTTCAATCCTCAGCACTGACATAAAAAGCTAGCATGGGGTGCATGTTTGAAATGCCCATCCTGGGGAGGTGGGGGCTGGTGGAGCTTGAGACCTTCTGGGCCAGCTGGTCTATTCAATCAGTGAGTGCCAGGCTCACTGAGAGTCTCAAAAACTAAGTGAGGAATTCTCCTCAAAGGGGCCTCTGGCCTCCACATACACATGAACCCACATACATGTGCACATGCACAGAGAGAGAGAGAGAGAGAGAGAGAGAGAGACACTCAGGTTTCCACAGCTCCTTAATAGCAAAGAAAAGAAAGTCTTGAATTAATTTGACACTATTTGTGAATTTATTTTTAATGGTTCTTACTTGGCAATGGCTCCTGACATCTTAGCTTTTATAATTTTTAAAACTTTTTTATTACATTTTATTATTTAATTTACATGTTTTACATGTATGGGGACAGGGGTCATGCACATGCCTTGGCATATGTCTGGAGATTAGAGGACAACTTATTGGAGTTGGTTCTCTTTCCACCTTTTCTATCCAGGTATTGAATTAAGGTCCTTGGACTTGGTAGCAGTTGCCCTTACTGTCTGAGCCATCTCACTAGCCCATCTTAGCTTTTAAATCACCTTTTCAATTAGCTAACAATCTACAGCAACACTAGCCAATCAATAGCCACTAGCCACATAGGCAACCCAGCACCTGATCTGTATTGAGATTTCTTATGGATTTAGCATGTGAAAAAAGGAACTGATTTTATTGTTTTGTACTGACGATACCTTTTTGATAGGTGAAATACTAAAGTTGAAAATATTGAAATTGATTGCACCTGCTTCTTTTCTGATGTGATTAATAGCACCATTTCAATTATGCATGTGGCATTTGTTTGTATTGAACAGCACTAATTTATCGGACAGCGCTTAGCTGCACCAGTGAGTTGATTACAAAGAATTTCTTTCCAGAACCCAGCAGAAGAAATAGCAAAGTAGGGGAGAGAGGAGGCAGAGGCAAAGAGGCAGAGAGCCAGAGAACAACTGTTCCCAGCTCTTCAGAGAATTCTCACCTGGTCAATGAAGAGACCCTTGCATGCCAGGTAATTAAAAACTAAAGTAGTATTTAGTTTAGAAAGCAGTTAAATAATGTTAAGTTCATGCCTAAGTATCCAGGTGCTAGTAAATTTAACTTTTAAAAAACCTCATGGGGCTGGAGAGAGAGCTCAGCAGTTAAGAACACTGGTTGTTCTTACAGAAGACCTGGGTTTGAATCCTAGCACCCACCTGGCAGCTAATGACTGTCCTTAACTCCAGTTCCAGGGGATCCAATGGCCTCTTCTATCCTCCACAACATGGGTGCACTTACCTACATGTAGGCAATACACTCGTACACATAAAATAAAAATAATAAATAAAATATTTTTAAAAACCTCCAGTCTGGAGAGATGGCTCAGTCAGTAAAGTGTTTGCCAAGGAAGCAGGAGGACCTGGGTTCAGATCCCCAACACTCACATAAAAGGCCAGGCCTGGAAGCTCCTGTCTATAATCCCAGCACTGAAGGGAGAGACAGGAGGATCCCTGGGGCTTGCTGGCCAGCCAGTTTAATCAAATCAGTAAGAGACCCTGTCTCAAAAATAAACTACCAAAGGAGACCCTCAATAGTGGTATCTGTCCTCTACACACACACACACACACACACACACACACACACACACACTCAGCAATTTTGGCGACATGGAAATCATTATCTTCATTTTTGATGGATCAGCTGTTTCCCTGGAAAAATAATTATCAAAACCAATTACTATCATAGAAATCAGTTCATCCCTCAAAAGACATCTGTCCAAGGCCAATGTGCCTGCCAGACAGGCAGAAGATCAATACAGAGATTCAAGCTTCCTTGTAAGAGAGAACAGGGACCTGTTATCTGAATTAAAAGTGCTGAGCACTTTTAACACCCAGGGCAGGCATTCTCCTCACCAGGGCAACTATTGGTCCTCTTTGCCAAAAACAAATTCTCTAATGCAAAAGTATATTGTACTCATCATGGATGCATGGTGTTTTTGTCTAAATCAATTAGCTGACTTAAACACATTAACTGTTGCCCTTGAATGATAAAAATAAAGAATATGTTTTTGACTATCACAGGTACAATTTTTTATAAAACAATATCCATTATTTTTCAGAGGTTTTAATATACACATCATTTGCTGCTGAAATAATGCATTTCCAATGAAGTACGTGGGAACTCTGTGAGGCTGGTACCTAGCGCCTTCCACTGGCTGAAACACCCTTCTTGGGAAGGTTGGTTGTCAGCTGCTGAGGTCCTCCTAGGGTTTGCCTTTCATCCTGTGAGTCCCAGTCTCAGGAGCAGCCCTACTGAAGCAGCAGTGAGCAAAGCTTCTAGAGGCTTCCCCATGAGCTGTGCACCTCAGTTCTTATCTCAGAGACAGCCAAGGACTGAGCGGTGAGTGCAAGCCAGAGTCCAAGCCCAGCTACAGTCAGCAGCCAGCCCTGGCCCTCCCCACCCCCTGCCTGTGTTCTACAGGGAGTAACCTCTGACAGTGAATTAAATGTATTCAGTCAAATGACACTGAAAGACCTCCTTCCCGGGGCATCCTCTGTTTCTCTAAGATAAATCAGGGGTCTCCTTGTGCCCCCCTCACTCACAGTTAGGAACCTCTTACATCTGCACAGCTGGCACAGATAAAACTGAACAGTTTGCAATTTCAGGCAACAACAACAATAAAAAAAAAATAGTATGAGTCCCATACAAATTTGTTAAATTTATTCTAATTTTATCCTCCTCTTTTCTATCTCCCACTCCACCCCCTCGAATCCAAATACCAGTGGGGTTGAGCACATTTGGACTGATTTTGGATGTAAAATACTTCGACTTTTTATTGTTACTTAGGAAAATAGTCCTTAAAATCATATTTTTATACTTATTTTAAAAAGCAAGTCATAAAAGTTCTGATACAATAAACCAGCACGTTTGGGGGTCCGTTTTAAAGATAACAAGAGCTGGAATGTGAAATAAATTCCTAAGCGAAGCCGGCGGTGCACAGAGCTTAGCCGGAGAAGGAAATCCCTCCAGCAAATTTACATTGTGTTCCACTGTTGAAGGCACCGAACACCAGATGCACTGGACTTACAGTTTCCAAGTCTCCCTCAGCCCCATAGAATCCGAACTGGGGGATTATAGGAGAAAACAGGCCGGAGAAGCCACCCGGCGGGCCGCGAACTGTCATTACTGGCAAATGGGGCCCCACATTCTTACATTGAGATGGGAGGCGGCGCCGCCTTGCCCCGGCTCAGCGCTTCCCACTGGGAGAAGAAAGGGACCCCCTTGGATACCCCAGGCCTGGCCTTTTTAAAAAGAGAAATGAGACATTGAAGCGGGTTCCGCCCAGAGCAAGAGCTCTAAAGGCCAGAGTGCAGGCAGGCATGCGGCATGCCCCAGCCGTCACTTTCTCACCTCTGCGTGTTTCTTTAGTAGGACCACGTCTTTCCATGACTTTTCCTAAATCCATACAATCGACTTCTGCATTCATGGAGACACCTGCAGTCACAGGATTTTCCCAACCCACACCTCTTGTTCCAACGGGATCTATAATTATGTGTAAGACCCAGATGTCTTGTTGTTGTTATTGTTGTTTTGTTTTGTTTTTAATGTTAACCTAGGATAGCAGAGTGCTCACCCTCCCCGGTGAGGATGCAGGATGCTGCTGGATGGTCCCCCTCTCCAACTCCAGGACGCACACTAATGGTGTCCCCAAAGAGAGGAATCCCGGCAGCAGCAAAGCCACAGCCTCTAGGCGGGAGAGCAGCAGGCAGCCCCAGCAAACAGCCGAGGTCACTTACCTGAGGAGAGCCGGCTCCACGCGGCGAGTCTCCAGGCGCAGCTCCCGGACCCGCTGCGCGCGTCGCGATGCGGCTACTGCTGAGGCGGAGCGCGCGCTGCTCCCTCCTGGTGACGCTGCTGTCAGCTGCCCTGCACCCCGCACCGCCCTGTGCACCGCCCGAAGACGTGCACCCCTTTTGCACCGCCCAGAGCCCTGCACTGCCCTGTGCACTGCCCCGTGCCCTGCTCTGCCCCTCACTGCCTTGTGCACCTACCTCCTCGAGCCTTGCACCTGCCGGAGCTCTGCACAGCCCTGAGAGAACTCGCACCCTGCTCTTGGCGTGCACCGCCCGCACCTGCGCCTGGCCCAGCACTGCCCTGCGGTCCTCCAACGCAGTCCTCTCCGGCTTTTGCCTCCTTGACACCTGCTCCGCCCTGCCCAAGCTCTGGGCTTCCGAGTGGCACGGACGCAGCATTGGCCACTAAGGCTTCAATGGCGCCCGCTGGTCTTCACGAGCCTTCAGCTGCCCTCTACCGAAAGTTCCTGGAATAGATGGCGAGGATTGGAATTTTCTGAAAATTCATTGAATTCCCTGAAAAGATACCAGATTCCTGTTTTAAACTGTGCGCCTAACCAGGTGTAATTAATCACTACTAACTACAGAGCAAAACTTGCTTTGTTTTTTTGCATATTTATTTTCCTGTTGTTGCTATAAAATACCCTGACAAGAAAGGGTTTGTTCTGGCTCATAGTTCACGTGGGGAAGTTAAGGCAGCAGAAGCTGGAAGCAGGTCATCACATTGCATCGACAAGCAGGAAACAGAGGGGTGGACACGCCTGCTTCTGCCAGGGCCCCTTTCTCCATTTTTACAGTCCAGGATCCCAGTCAGGGGATGGTCCTGCCCATAGTCAAGACGGTCTTCTCACATCAATTAATATAATTAAGACAATCCCGCACATAAATGCCCAGAGGCCTGTCTCCCAGGTGCTTCTAGATACTGTCAAGTCGACAACACTAACCATCATAGATACTAAATTTGAAAACTTGCTTATTTAGAAATCGAAAGAAATACCCAGTAGCTAACCACACAGCACAAGTTAAAGCACTCTAACTTAACAGGACCCCATGACAAAACCAGCATAGGGGATCTTGGGTTACAACCACGTATGTGCTGTGTGGTTTTGTATGAGCATTTCAAGGAAATAACAGAATTTACTTTCTGACAATGATAGATAATTTTTTAAAAGAGGTACTAATTCAAAACGAGAGGGGGGGGGATTATGACCAACAATTCTGTACTAACATTTTTAAAATGTTTGATAGAAACATTGCTGACTTACTTTAGAGCTTTATCCTCCTCACACTGACTGTCCTTCCATGACGTTGTGAGAGAACCTAGCAAAATTATTTTCTCTGCCAAATTTGGCTTAGTTCATAGAACTCCACTTTCCTGTTTTGATCATTTTTTGACATCCTGTGTAATTTTGGATAACATTATTCTTTGAAATTCATTTCCAAAGTAAATTTCTGTCCTGCTATTCACAGGAAAGGTGCATTTAAAAAAAAACTTACTTAAATTAAGTTTTCAGCATTTATAATTAAGACAGCATCTTTTTATTTCTGCATTTAACCTAATTCTGGTTATGGTTATCAGCTTATGAAAATAACACACCATTTTTAGCAAGGCCATTTGAGGATGCCTTCTACAACCCCCTTGCTTTAATTATGTCTGGGAGCAGTGTATGCCATAGTCTCTTCATTATAAAAGGCTCTATGAGCCTGGGAGATAGTTCAGTACCTACATTAAAAAAGCCAGGCATGATGATGCACTTGAAATCCCAGAGTTGATAACACAGACAGGAGGATCCCTGGGACTCAATGGCTAGCAAGCCTAGACTGATAGGTATGTTCCAGGTCAGTGAACTGTTTAAAAAGAAAAAAGGAGCCTATGAACCATAGCAATGACAGCCCAGCAAATTATCTCTATTGCTGCAGCAATGGCACTTTTATCTTACGGGTAATCAACAGCTATCTAACTGGACCTAAGCCTGCTCATTGGGAGGGAACTCATGTATGGTACTGTAAACACAGCCAAATAACAGATGGCTGAAGAGGTCATAGATCCTAGAGAAAAACCTACTTAGGGCACAACCCTAGACGAATGTAATTTCTTACTTTATTCTAGATATTCATCCTCATATTTACAGATAAATGTGACTCTAACCACTCATCAAGAACCTTCTTTTTGCAACAAATGGAAAGTATTAAAAAGTTCCACAAGTGGTTAAATTGCAGAAAATACATTACTGTGAGGTGCCTAGTGTGTAAGTATCTGAAATGCAAAGGCTCAGGGGACATTTTAGAATTTGGAGCAGAAAGAATATAAAAACTAAAGGGAAAAGACACCTACTGCTAGTTAACACATTCTAGACAGAGAAGCCACACCCATGAAATTCCCACATCATGGTAGTCTAACAGGTCTGCATAATGATAAAACCAGTTGTCATGCCAAGTTGGATGGTGGAAACTTCATGAGCTCCTATGTCAAGATGTACAGCTACAGACAAGATGCTAAGTGGGGGAGAATTACTTTTCTCCAGGGACTAGCTCCCTGAGCGGTTATCTAATTCCAAGTGGGCAGCCCTAAGCACAGGTACTCATGAGCACCACTAAATGAACTCAATGCTATATGTGTGTGTGTGTGTGTATGTAATGTATATTTATAAATGTATGTTGTATATGTAACAATAACAGTCAAAGAAGATGGCAAGGAATTGAGAGGGTGTGGGGGACATGGGAGGTGTTAGAGGAAGACTGGGATGGATTGAAATAATGAAAATACAATACCCATGTATGAAATTCTCAAAAAATAAAAAAAAAAATAAAAATTCAACTATAAAACAATGATGTATAATAACTGATGTGGAACACTGGAAGATGATCTCTTGACTTCAACAGACATGCACTTACATGTGCACTGGCTGATACATGCACATAAAAGTATACACAAAAATACATATAGAAAGAATTGGAAGGAAGGCAGGAAGGAAGGAAGGAAGGAAGGAAGGAAGGGAGAAGGAAGGGAGGGAAAGAAAACAGTATGACATTGGGGAAACTTCAGAAGAGGGACTACATATGTTGACAATGTGTTCTGAACACAGGCTGCTGCTGAGTCTAGCATCTAAAAAAAAAAAAAAAAAAAAAAAATCCCAATTAGAAACTCAGATTGCTGCTTTAAATGGCAATCAAAATGTAGGTTGTCATGTTAAATGATGAAATGAGATTTAAGAAGTCAACAGGAGAGTGGAAAGTTTAAAGTGTGAGAGTCCCTGAAGGTCAATGCCTGCTCTGCTCTGGAGGCCAGAAGAGGGGCGAATAAGACCTTGTCAACAGCCACAGGCTCTCACTAGTTCCTCTGAGAAGGTTATGTAGGGCCCCATCCCCATCTTAACAAGGAACAGCTCACTAAAATGATGTCCCTGGCCTCCTTGTTATTTGTCATGAGCCCTTCACCGAAAGGCTAGAAAGATGGGGAGTCACAGGACATGGAAAGGAAAAGGAACCTGTGCGGATAGCTTCAGGTGTGAACTTGACACACTTGGGAAAGGGGAACCTCAACTGGAGAATTTCCTCTATTGGACCGGCCTGTGGGTATGTCTGTGAGGTATCTTGATTGTTGAGTGAAGTGGGAGGGCCCAGCCCACTGTGGGTGGTGCTACCCTTGAGCAGGTGGTCCTGGGTTGTGTAAGAAAGCAGGCTGGCCGGGCGTGGTGGCGCACACCTTTAATCCCAGCACTCGGGAGACAGAGGCAGGTGGATCTCTGTGAGTTCGAGGCCAGCCTGGTGTCCATAGTGAATCCAGGCCAGCTGGGGCTACAGGGAGACCCTGTCTCAAAAAGACCAAAAATAAAAAAAATTAAAAAATTTAAAAAAAGAAAGCAGACTGAGCACAGGTCAGAGGAACAAGTCAGTAAGGAGCGTTCCCCATGGTCTGTGTTTCAGTTCCTGCCTCCAGGTTCCTGCTCTGACTTCCCTCAATGGTGATTGTCAAATTGCTAGGATTTAGAATCACCATGAAACAAAGCTTTGAGCATGTGTGTGAGGGATTCTCTAGATTAGGTTAATTGAGGTGGGAAGACCCACCCTTAAGGAAGGCTGTAGTGTACCCTAGGCTGCAGTCCTGGAGTGAATAAAAAAGGGGAGAGCCAGGTGTACACCAGCATTCCTCTCTCTGCTTCTTGACTATGGACAGGATATGTGAGCAGCTGCCTCATACTCCTGCTACTGGGCTGTCCCTGCCATGGCAGACCATACCATGGAACTGTGAGCCAAAATAAAACCTTCCTTACTTAAACTGCTTTTGTCAGGTATTTTGTCAGAAAAACGTAATGAATATGTACAGCGAGTTTTTCCTGGCTGCCCTGTGTAAGGTTTGCTGCCACTTCCTTCTTTGAGTAGAACTGTGTTGATTTGATTTTCCACCACTGTGACATAAAGCCTGATGGAACACCTTTAGAGGAGGAAAGATTACTCTGCTCCCGATTCAGGCAGAGCATAGAAAAGCACTCCCCAGGGCTCACTCTTTTTTTCTGCTTATTTGATCTGGGCCCATGGGGTGGTGAGAATCACCTGGGGGGGGGGACCTCCCCCTTTGAGCCATAACAGAAATAACAAGGTGCCTACTAATGCAGAGATTCGAGTCCCTGCTTTGGGGACTCAGACATACCCAGGGTTAATCGTCTCCTCCGAGCTTCTCAGTCTAATCAAGTTGTCGGTCAAGATTAACCATCATCACACCCCAGAAGAGATATGTGACATGTGACATAGTAGCTCCTAGAAATTCCAATTGGCTTCATTGGAAAATAGTGTTGTAGATTCAGGTAAGAGAGGGTCACATAGACATTGCTTTGGATCCAGAGTGTCGCTCCCAGGCACCTGCTCTTACCTCCCAAAGAAGAAGTGTCACAGATCAAATTTTCACACATAGAGATATTCAAACACCAATAAGTATGAACCTTCTTGAAGTGGGAGCTTAGCCTAAAGCCTGGGCAATACAAAGGGCAGCTGTGGTAGAAACAATAGCAATAGTGTGAGCTGAGGTAGGCAGGAACCATGGTTACAGAAAACATGCACACCTTATAAATTAGCTCAGATTCTATTGAAAGACACCATGGTTAAACTGCAGGCCAGATCAGGAGAGAAAATGGCATAACTATTAAAATATTTCCTCATTTCAATAGTTAGGATTCCTTATTAAATACCCTGGGTCACAATTTGAGAAAATGAGGGGTTTGGAGAGACAGCTTAGCAATTAAGAGCCCTGCATACCACTGTTGGGGAGGACCTGAGCTTGGGTCCCAGCACCTAGGTCAGGCAGCTCATAACTGTTGGTACCTCCTCCAGCTCCAGGAGATTCAAATGATGCCCTCTGCTGGTCTCCACAAGCACTTGCACTCAAGTGCACATACTCACCTACAGACACATG